TCTGCCTAAATGGGATAGCTGAAGATAAATATTATCAAAAGACGTTTAGTAAAGCTAAAAGATTTATAATAAGTAGAATAGCATTATACTTGTCTTAATAATAATGATCTAATTATTACAACACTGGCGGATAAGTCCTGGCACACGATGTCGTGTAGCGTGCTGTTACGAACTTAAGCGAAGNAAAACAGCCTTCGCAACCGATGCAGCAGTAGCCGCGGCATAATACTGCCACCCTTTGCCTTTGTGACTGTCGGCGTAGTCACACACGCCTTTGATCACAATGCAAGGCAGCTCGTCCCACACACCCGCACCCTCCATCTCTATGCCAATGACTCCTTCCGCAGCGAGAGCCTTGCGGTGCTGGGCAGAGCGTATGACACTGTCTCCGGAACCCATACGACCAATGTGTATCTGAGGAAGCGGAGACGACCCTTGGGCACGATGTCGAGTAAGTCTTTGCCTCGGAACCAATAAATTGTCGTCGCAACCGAGTTCATCACACTCAATTTCCCGGGATTCCTCGCAGATGGAACCTTGTGTGCAACGGCCGCAATTCAAGGTAGGGTCGTGGTGTTTATGTTCGTAGGAGTCTTCAAAAAGTTTGTCCTTGTCTGCTCCGGGATATTTGTATTTTCCCAACTCCGATTCCCGCTTTGGGTCTTTGTCATGTTTTTCCTGAAGATGTCGCAGGTACTCGGCAGCTTGTTCTTCGACTTCAGGACGGTTATCTTCCTCCAGCGACTTAAGCAAGCTTCGAATATTCCTATTTGGCCGGCCATAACCGTCCTCGACTTCGGCCTTAGCTTCGAAGCGATTGGGGTACTGCCTTCCAAAGTCGCGGTGAATCAGGACGTTGCTGATAACGACGTCACCGAGGATGACTTCCCGACCCTTAGCGAGAGGCACCCCGGCGCAGATACCGATGATGAGGGCCAGGGAAAGATTGGGGTAGCTTCTTCGGATGTTAACAGCTGCACCGGCAGCTGGGACTTTGCCCATGGTGTCAAGAAGGACGATGACCACATTGAACCTCCCGATCCGCCCATGTTTGTAGGTGTTGTAGTCCCCTGGGGCCCTGGCATATCGATGCCGGTTGCCCCTGCCGTCCCAAAGATCGTCGAGGAGTAGCAAAACAGCTGCTTTTTCCTTGGGTAGCGCGCATATTATCGCAATCTCAAAGTCATTTTGGCTTGCAGGAGCGGCGTACTTGAGATCGTCCCCCATTATCGTGGAGCGAGTGCCTCGTCCAAGATGATAGCGACGACACCAACGCCTGTCGGTTTCCAAACGTCTGTATCAATCCTCGCGTTCAAATGGTGATCGTTTCGGTGTCGCGCGATGGACGAGATGTCTGGCAAAAAGAAAGTTGGACTCTGACTTCTACCACAACCGACGGGAACTGTGTAAAGGCATCGGGCACAGCCTCTTCGGCACAGCTGTCGTGCAAGCAGAAGACTGGTCAATATCGCGCTGGGTACATCGTTGGGCATAAGTGATTGAGGGGCATAGGTGATTGAGAAGCCCAGGGCGCCAATCCCGGAAAGGAAAGGCGTTGGGACAGGCCTCTCCTGAGCCTTTGCTGTAAATGTGGCTGCCAGTTCCATTGCGCTGGCAGGCCTTTGTTCAGTCGCGCGAGAAGGCTCCGGCCCACTTGTGGATGCCTTCAACATTTGGAGGCGGGCTATATCTAGATTACTTAACCGCTTCGGGCATGACTTTCAGCGACCCAGCTCATCTTATCTGTCATTAACATGTGGGCTCAAAATTCAGCGCAAAGTCTGTTAGCCCGCGATCGGTCGTTTTGCGAAAATTTCTCTAAAATAAGGCAGACCTCCCGTCGCGCTCAATGCACTCCCTTGAAAGTGCATACAGAGGATCCCGTTCAAGAATTTGAAGACGGGAAGTACCACCTATTACTCAATCTAGTATTTAATATGGAGTACATCACAAAGAGCGCAAACCTAAGTGCATTACTATTGCCTAGTGTAACAAACAGCAATCTAATCTGCCTAAATGGGATAGCTGAAGGTGAAGACTATCAGAAGACGTTCGGTGAAGCCAAAATGTTCACAACAAGTAGGGTAGCGTTATACTTGTCTCAATAATAATGATTGTCATGGGGCTAGTGCCCGTGGCTGAAATGCCTGGCAAACTTGCCAGGCGAGTGCTCCACTCTCGCGGCAGGCAACATTGGCCTGTGCGTGCGCACGTCCCTTCTTTAGGACAGCCGGCCAGACTGCCCAGAGGGCGTCCTTTTCTCCCCTTCTCTCTTCGTAGAACCTTATCGATTCTTTTGGCTAGCATCTGTGTCAACTATGCTGTACCCCTTACAGTACCTCCCATCACAAAACATCATCGACAGAACAGTCATCGTCGACCCTTCATTTCCTCAAAAAAGTGGCACACGGCCTTGATAAACTTGTGAATACCGGATTATTTATTTTTTGTTAGGTTAAAAATGCGATACTGAAAAAATACCTTGAAGTGTCCCAGTGCACAGTACCTCCACCTGTCTCTCCTTCAAACATCCAATCTACCACGGTCTCGTCGCTCAACTGAAAAATCTTCGTCGAGGGGATAGGCGCCTTCTGACACTTCCATCTCGAGATAGAAGAATAGGCTAGATACCTAGGTCTGATACTCCACGCCGTTCCTCAAAGTTCCAATCTTACTGATATGTACCTCGACTGTAGTCCCTGGCTGCAGCCACCTCGGCGGGTTCATCCTGGAGCCGATACCTGATGGTTGATTCGAGACAGTGTCAGTCCAATGCAACCGCACAACCTCCGCTGTGCACATGAGGTACTAGATAGGTAGGTAATCTCACATACCTCCCGGCGTCCCAGTCATAATAACACTCCCCTTCTGCAGTGTAGTGCCACAAGACAAAAAAGCAATCAGGCGCTGGACCGAAAAGGCGAGGTCGGCAACACTGGCTTCCTGACGTATCTCGCCGTCGACTGTGGTTCTCAGCGTCAGTGGCTCAAGCTCGGCGGCCGGATCGCGAACGAGACGGGTCGACACCAGCGCCGGACCTAGCGGCGCAAACGAGTCGAAGCCCTTGGAGAAGTCGGCCTGGGGCATGGGTCCAGCCAGGTGCGGGTCGAGCTGCAGCTTGCGCGCCGAGATGTCGTTGCCGACTGTGTAGGCGGCGACGTAGTCGAGCGCGTCGGCTGCAGGGACGTCTTTGGCGTCTTTGCCGATTATGACGCACTGGGTAAGGTAGACGTAGGTAAGCGATCGCGTTAGTCAGAGTACAGTGTTTGCCGGTATTGGACTGCGCCTAGCTTGGCTTCGATGTTGGATACCCATTGAACCGTGCTTCCAGGTACTTACCAGTTCCCCTTCGTAATCCGCTTGATCGTCTTGAGCAATCTTGGGGATTATCACATTAGCGCCGTGGTCATGGACGGCAGTGGCCGGCTTGAAGAACATGACGGGACACGGTGGTAGTGGACGTCCAGTTTCACGAACTGCCGCACGTCGCGGTTAACAGGTTGGCGTGCAGACCGATACTTATTAACTTTTCTCCGACTGGAAATATCACTAACTGTGTGCGAGATAGTTCAAACCGATGCATCGCAGAATCGGCACATCCGCTGGTGTCAGAGGGCCAAGCAGCTTCTTCACCGTGACGATCTCGTCCGTAATCGAGGTGGCCCCCGTTGTGTCGTAAATATCGTCACCACGGATGACGCGGGCTTTCAGCTGGGTCGCCTCGGTCGTGGTGCCTAGGTCGAACTCGTCAGAGGGCATGATGGGCTCTCCCCGGAGCGTTCGGCCGTCCGTTGCCACGAAGCGGATCAGACGTTGCCAGGCAGTTTTCATATTGGTGGTCGACTGTTTTGCGGAGGCGATGGAGGGTTGAATGATGGCGACTATCGTTTGGGAAACAAACAGCTTGAGGTACCAAGGAGGATTACATCAACGGGAATATGGGGGCGTATTGAACGGTTGATAATATTTAACCGGACAAGCCTAAGGCTCTGAAACGTTGTGATATTTTATCTAGGAAGGTACGATGAAAGAGAAAGGAAGGTGGGGAAGAAAAAGAGGAAGAAGAGAGAAAAAAGGAAAGAGTGAAGGATACAAAGAAGGAGAGAGAAGAGGGGAGAAGCGGGGTTAATGAAGTGAAAAAAGGTGAAGTGACTATGTACCGTCTCCCAAAGTCCCAAGTCCCAACTTTCTTCTTGCAACCCTCATCACCACCACCACTTCCTATGTTACTGACTGCAACCGCCTACTCCTTCAGGTAAGAATCGAACCACTGAACTGCCTGCGAGAATGCCGCCTCCTTTGCAATCTTCTGCCGGCGCTGGCTCAGGTCGCAGCGGACAGCAAATCCGTGGTCGACGTCGGAAAGAAGGTTGATCTGGTAAGGGATGTCCAGCTTTGCCAGGATCTCCTCCGATTCGTGGCGCTTCTCCGTTGTGAAGACAAAGTCCTTGACTAGAAGAACACCAGGCACAAGTTAGGAACGGGAGCTATGCTTCATGAACTAACAGTTAACGACAATGTCAAACTTACCAGCCGCGGTAATGCTCAGAGGTCCCTCAACGCCAGCCAGCTCGTCGGGGCCGACCATGGTGGGATGCGCAGTGTATCCGACATCGATCTTGCCGGTGCCGGGCTTGAGGTAGCGGCAGACGTAGCGGCCGCCAAAACAGTAGCCGACCCCGCCGATACGCTTGACGCCAAGCTTCTCGCGCATCTCGCGAATAACGTCGTCGATGATGGGGTCGACGTGCTGGGGCAAATGGTTCTTGAGCCAGTCCATGATCAGGAAGCCCTCGGGTCGATTCAGCGGGACCGTGTCGCCCTCGAACAGGTCGGGCATGACGACGAGGTAGCCATGCTTGGCGAACTGGTCGGCCAGAAGCTGGGCGTTGATGAACTCGTGGCCGATTACGTCGGTGAGGATGAGGATGGCATCTTCCGTCGACTTGTTGGGGGGATACGAGACGTATGTCGCGACTGCGCGTTACCAAGCTATTGTTAGCAATCAAGATCTTGGACTCAGCACTCGGGCACTGCCAGACTTACTCTTGCCAATGTTCCGGATCTCGCCCTTGGCCTCACCCTCGTGGAGGTTGCCAAGAGTGCAGCAGCGCGCGGGAGGAAGCGAAGTCATATTGTGTGGTAGACGGTGGATGATGGTGGATGATTCCGAGTGCGCAGCTGAAAGTTTGCCGAAGGCTGAGGTGATGATGATATGAGTCTGGATCTTGCCCAGGTGAATGTGATGGAACGAAGGAGAAGGGGTGTCGGTCAAGACTTGGCGATCGGTGCGGCCCGGACGTTTATCGATCGTATAAACGTGGAAACCTACCTAAACGGCAGGTAGGGCTGACTGTTCCTGGGTAGGTGACGAGTAGGGCGGTAACTACAACTGGTACTTTCGTGGATGGTTATCCCATGGCGGGTCAACCAGCCGATTGGTCAACAATGTTCTACCAACTCGGTGTACTTACACCGATGGATACAACTTCTAACTCTCACATGTGTCACGTTGTACGACAGTACGAGTATGGATGGATCAGCTTCAAGGAGGCGTCGCTTCAGCTCTCGCGCCTCTGAGGAGAGTCGTGTGCAGACGGCGGCGGCACGGACAGAAGATGCCTACCTCATGCCTTACTCGGGCCCTTTGAGCGTTTGAGGCCGCTTGATTCGCCGTTGAGGCGAACTAAAGAATCAAACTCAAGGGGGAAGAACAGCTATATGTTATGGAATATATTGGCTGGTTACTCGCCCGGTTTGCTCTTTCCTCAATGGATTACACGACATCAGGCTGGCTTACATTAACAACAGAAGATGCTAGCCAAAATGTTGCACCGCAGAGTTCCACTACTTCAGATGATCTGCTTGGCTCTTATCAGCGTCACAAGTGTCGCCGGTACCTGTTTCTCTGAGTGTGTCATTCCAACGGTAAGTCCCACTCCCACTCGCGTTGTGTTCAGGGGAGGTTTGGCCATGAATCTTTATTAACAATCTAACGTTCATCTTTCAGGTGACGCAGCATAACAAGTGGAACAAGCAGACATGTCCTTGGGGCGACCTCACAGCAGACCGGGCCAGCCCACACGACATGCCCGACACCGGAATCACACGGAGCTATGAGTTCACCATCTCGCGAGCGAATATGTCCCCAGATGGCGTTACGCGGTCCATGATAGTCGTTAACGGCCAGTTCCCAGGACCTGCCATTGAGGCCAACTGGGGCGACTGGATCGAAGTCACACTGGTGAATAAGATCAAGGACCCCGGCGAGGGTGCCGCCATTCACTGGCACGGAATCCGCCAGGTTGGGACTCCGTGGATGGATGGTGTGCCATCAACTACCCAATGCCCTATCCCTCCGGGCCACAGGTTCACGTACAGGTTCCGTGCCGACGAGTACGGTTCGAGCTTCTGGCATTCCCATGTCGGGTCACAGTACTCTGCAGGTGCTTTTGGCGCCATCGTTGTTCATGGGTGAGCTAGAGCATGCCCCAGACCAAAAAAGGAGATGATGATGGCATATCTAACCGCGTGTCTTAGACCAAAACATCAAGACGCCCACTATGATGAAGATCTCGGTCCCGTCTTTCTGGTATGTGCTATCAGAACAGAGTCATTTTATAGCTCACAAGTGCTAACCTTTGCAGACGGACTGGTACCATGCCGACACTCGTGACATTGTCAAAGGCGTCGTGGGCCTTCCAGCACCACTGACACAGCCATATTCGGACAACAACCTGATTAATGGCCGCATGCCTTTCGATTGTACAAACGCAAACATCACGGCATTTAACCGAACATGTACCAGCGATGCCGACTACTCGAGGTACAGATTCACCAGAGGAAAGACGTATCGTCTTCGTCTTCTGAATATTGGCAGCCAGGGCATGCAGAGATTCACCATTGACGGCATGAAGATGAAGGTGTTGGCCCAGGACTTTATCCCCGTTGTTCCGTACACGACCGATGTTGTTACCATTGGAATCGGCCAGCGTACCGACGTCTTGGTTACCGCTACAGGAAGTTCGGCCGACGCCATCTGGATGAGGTCCGACGTTAGTCCGACGTGTTCTGTCAGCACCCAGGGTCACGCACTGGCTGCCATTTACTACGAGAAAGCGGACACATCCGTCCTGCCCAACTCCACTGCGACAGTCTACGACGACTCATTCTGCGGAAATGTATGTGCTTACCTCTATTCCGAATGCTGTGGGATTTCATTTCTTTCCATAGTTTGCGACTGACTGACTCCCGTTCCTTTCAGGTACCACTCTCCTTGACAACTCCTGTATCCAATGAACCCCCCCAGCCGAGCCGGAAACAATCATCATACTAGACATCAAGTTTGCCGCAAACGCCACGGGAAATAAGCTGTGGCTTGTTAACAATCAGACCTTTCGGGCAGACTTTGAGTGAGTACCTTACCTGGGCCATCCGTCATAACTCATAACCCCGGACGCTCCAAACCCCGCTAATCCGCCTATTCCAATCCTCAGACACCCAATCCTCCTCCTCGAGAACCAGGGTAGTAGTACCACGCCCTCATACGTCCAAAACCCCGAACGCATGACCTACAACGTCGGCAGCAACAGCTCCGTCCGGATCATCCTGAACAACTACAGCTTCAACAACCGGAGCCAGCACCCGATCCACTTCCACGGGCACGACTTCTGGATCGTAGCAGAGGGCGTGGGCAAGTGGGACGGTGTGGTGCCCCCCAAAAGCCTCAACAATCCGATGCGTCGCGACACGCACATCTTGCAGCCCGGAAAACCTGACGGACGGCCCGGATACATGGTCATGGACTTTGTTACCGACAATCCGGGGGTGTGGCCGTTGCATTGCCATTTGGCGTGGCATGTTAGTGCGGGTCTTTATGTGAATATTTTGGTAAGTTTTCGTGCTTGGCCTCATTCTATACTATAGTTTGGTCAGAGGACAGTAACTCATTGGATTGTTTGTTTACAGGAACGACCTGATGAGATTGCGAATCTCACAATTCCTGACGTGGCTGGCAAATCCTGCAGAGAGTGGACTTCGTATAGAAGGCCGTTGGACCCGGTTATAGATTCAGGTGTGTGAGGAGGAGTACTCGTGTGTTCTACTGATCTACCACGACAAGATTTTATTCCGCATCTATACTCCTTTTCGTACACGCAAACGCCCTTTACACCTATGCGTTTTACACCTTTTTATAGCAGTTTGTTTACTTCTACCCTCCAAAACCCGCTAGAATAGACTAGATTTCCTTCAATAATGCCCCTGAAACTCTTTCATCCCTTCAATTAGTCATATTTCCTCCTGCTATTTCATCCATTACTTGCATTCACACAGGTAGCGTCGGCGATTGCAACATGGGAACAGTATTTTCAACTTTCTCTTACCATACTACAGGTGGTCTGCAACTAGCGCGCTGATGACAAGCTTGCACAAGTCCGATAAGGTGTCTCTGACTGGTGTCCATGTCGCTTGGGGCGAGATGATTACACATGAGACATTGAGTTTCATGTCCACCCCACCTCACCCACCTGCAAGCGACTCATTCTGTCAAACATGAGGTGTCGAGGTGACTTGAACTTTGCCGAGAGTTTAGGAGGTTGTAATAACGGGTACAGTATCCGACTTGGAAAGAGAATTTATCGACACTACCTAGAATAGCGCCGGACCAGACAGATCAATCCAGGGCAAATTCCTTCGGACATAGCTGGACTAACAAGATTCTGCAGATTCTAATTGTAAATATCGTCGTTCTAGCGGGGTGGTAGAAGTAACGTCTACTATGTATGTCACACTGTACCTTTACTCAAGATACCTCTACCCATACCCATCCCAGATCTCCAGAGGGTAGTTTATCCCCGCAAGGACATAAGGCAACCGAAGGTGAACGCGAGACATCTTGTCCCTGGGACATTCTTACTGCGGCAATACGATGTGAAACTACCTAAAATGTGACGTATCAAGGCAGTGAGACAGGCACAAACTCTGGTCCTTACAGCGAGGTACACGATGTAGGGATCTTTTTTGTAAGACATAATAGAGATCTCTGGAGGTACTGACTGAGGCTGGGCGTAGGACAGGCACTAGGCAGGCAGGTACGAACTCGGATCAGCGGCTGTGGGGGTCTTGGATAATAACCTGGAAATAAGACAAGATCAAGTAGCCAAGGGTAGGCATAGACCCCTATCGTTAGCGTGAAGCGTGGTACTAGGCTGGAACAAGCAGAACTCAGATCCTTAGGGGTCGTATAAAGTAAGACACAGTGCAGTTGCTAAGGGTGGGCGGAGCGGAGGAATATGCCTTTGGGTGCACATCTGTGTGAACAAGCTTTCACAGGCATTCATAGCAGAGTTACCCCTTAAACACGCTGAGATGAGAAAAAGACTGTCGACATAGCCCCAGTGTGAAACAGTAGTACAACTACTAGGCAAACTCGTCTACAAATGGATGGATCCCGAACTAGTATACACACTTAATCCGAGCAAGCAACCCAACCCCTACTCCCCCCCCTCTTCCCCAGCCGTACTACGATACCTTTTACTTACATACAAACCACCACTCTCAAAGCAGCCCACCTATCCGTCCGTATCACTCAACTTTGTTAGCAAACGGCCCAACCCTCCTCAACCTCGGTCCCCAATAATAAAACACCGTAGGCAACGGGGTAATCACCACACACAAAAAGAACAGTAACAACGTCCCCCACTCATACCCCAGCCTCCTATACAGCCCGTTCCCCACAAAAGCAAAGATACACCCCAACACGCTGCGGCTGACAGTCACCGCCGCCAGGGCGCTGGCCGCGTACGTCTCAAACGAGTCAACCATGTACGTCGTCACGCTGATGTACGTCATCAGCATCCCTGTCGAGAAGACGGCGGCGCCGATGAGGGGAACGATCCAGTGCACTCCTGTGTCTTCCTTTCCAACCTTTCCGGCCGTGAGGGCGAAGATGAGCAGGCCGGCGGGAACGATGAGTGCGCCGAGTTGCATGAAGGGCATTCGGTACTCGGGGGTTTTGTCGTCATCTATGTTTTTGGTGTTATAGGGCTGTGCCTCGCCGGCGGCGTCTCGTGATGATGTCCTGGCTCTCGCCTTCATAAAGGCGTAAGTGCGGTTGACCAAGGCTGCGCTTAGGAGGGTGCCTGCGACAGAACCCAGTCCGACGCCGAGGTACGAGAGGCCCGTGAGGGCTTCAGGCCAGTGATATGACGGTAGGCCGTAGAGAGGTTCTGCTGAGAAGAGCAGGGGGAGCGTCACCATGTGCAGGTACAAGATCCCGTATATGACCGCCATGTACAGGCTCATGGCCGTGCAAACGGGTGAAGTGAAGAGCATCATGCCGGCGCGAGTCATGGTGCGCAGAACGATGGTCAAGTCGGAACCAGCACGATCTGACCCCGCCGCCTGCACAGTACAAGGGACGCCCGACTTGCTTAGAGCTGCGGCCTTCTTTCGGAGGAGGAAGGGGGCGTATGTCTCGTGCAGGAAGAAGACAGAGACTAGGCTCGTGACACCAGAAGCGATGGCCATGATCCACGCGAGCCATCGCCAGCTTCCCATGCCGCGCAAGATAAAACCGCCGACGACACCGCCAATGGCGGACCCGCCAGTAGGGCCGAAGCTGTACAGGGCCTGGGCGCGGCCTCGGCGCTCGGGACTGAACATGTCGCCGATAGTGCCGCCGCCGATGCTGGGCCCGGCCGATCCCGCCATGCCGGCAAACAGTCTGAACACGGTCAGGGCGGCAATATTGGGCGAGACGGCGCAGCAGATGTTGAAGACAGTGAACATGGCGAAACAAGAGAGGTAAACCACCCGCCTGCCGTAGAGTTCGGACAGTGGTGCCAGGTAGAGCGGTCCAAGACCGAAGCCAAGTACGAAGAGCGCCGTGGGAAGGGTTGGCGTGTACTCGTCTGTGAGCCCAAAGTCGTCGGCTACGGCCTGACCCGCCACGGCCAGTATGACGGACGCCATGGGTGAGAGAGTGGCTTGGATGCTGATGAGGAGCACATTGCGCCATTTGCGAACGGGCGTCCAGTTGCGCGGGTGTTGGACATCATCTGGTCCATCCCACGTCTGTCCACATTAGAACTTGACACGCACGACACAAGGAGAGAGATATCAAGGGTGGTAACACGCGACTCACCACTACCAAAGCCTCATCGCCTGAAACTCCTGTCGTGCTGCCGTTTTGAACGTCCAGATTGGGCGCCATAGTTCTGTTGTGAATCTAACATGCAGAGGAACGGGATCAATGTTGTGTAGACAGAATCTGACATACTACAAGCCGCCGGGATTGCTACGACATATAAGGTAAGTTACCTACAGAAGTTCGCTCGGTCTCACCTCTCGTTCTGGTCAACCCTCCCCTGAATCCTCAGCCCTGTAACACCAACTCCAATCTCGACGAGAGACTTCGGGTCAGACCGGATGCTGACTGTCTTTTCTCGTGGCTCTCCGACTCTGAGTAAGGCTGAAATGTGCTCTCCACTCTGAGTCCGCCCGGCTGAATTGTACTCTCCAGTTCTGGTATGGCTGATTTGTGGTTCGTGCAACAATCGAGGCTATGGAGCAGATCGATGCCCGTGAGGCTATCCCATCGGCCACATTGAGGTAAGATACTTACCTCTAAGGTCAACCGGACTGTCTGAGGATGCTGATGTGAGATAAGTCGGCTTCTCCAGCTACGTCCGTTGGGCGGAATGCTTCCACAATACTCGTCGCCAGCGCGGAGTCAGACTGATCCGTACATGGGCCTGACGACATGAAGTGTCCGTTGCTAGTCGAGTATTGATCATGATTGCATCGTCGAATGAGAGAAGATAGGGAGATAGATATCTAGACTCCCTCATCCCGCCATCTCTCCACTAGCCACCTTAGAATAGAACCAACCGCAAAAGCTACACACACAAGTCCCTTCCATTCTTTCTTGCATCATCATCATGGCGCCACTTCCCAAGAACGTGTTCGACGTCCTGCTGCAGGCCGCCCAGGACACCCCAGACAAGGGACTCTCAATCTATCCCAAGGGGCAGACCCAGGCACCGCCGCATCGTATCACCTATCTCCAGCTCCTCCACGAAGCCATAGCCTTGTCACGGCTGGTGAGGGGAATCCCCGGTACCGGACCGGAGACCATTGTGCTGCTCCATCTCGACGATCACCAGGACAATGTCCTATGGTTCTGGGCTACGGTTGCGGCGGGCCTTGTGCCGGCCATGTCGACCCCCTTTACCAACGATCTGGAGCAGCGCCGAAAGCACCTCGCTCACCTCAAGGAAATGTTGAAGAACCCCATCGTCATTACCCGCAGGCGTCTGGCGCCCGATTTTGCCGTCACCGGAGGATCGATGCAAATAGTCACCGTCGAGGACCTCCAAAAGCACGGAGAGGATCAGATGGATGACGTGCCCGGTAACAATGGGCTCGTATACTCCCCAAGCAGCGCTACCTCCAAGAAAAGCGACGACCTGTTCGCCCTGATGTTGACCTCCGGCAGCACCGGCCACGCGAAAGCCGTGCGTCTCTGCCACGGTCAGGTTATCACAGCCCTATTTGGCAAAAGTCGATACCACGGCACGACCTCCCGCGACGTCTTCCTCAACTGGATCGGCATGGATCACGTCGCAAACCTCACCGAGGTGCACCTGCACGCCATGATCCTGGGCGCTGATCAGGTTCACGTCCACGCCTTGGATCTTCTCGCCCAGCCTATGCTGTTCGTCCACCTGATCGACAGACACCGGGCCAGTTACACATTTGCTCCCAACTTCTTCCTGGCCAGCGTCAGAAAGGCACTCGAGGCCTTCTTCGCCATGTCTAGCCCAGACTCGTCACCCAACCTCTCATCACTCAGATCACTGATCTCGGGCGGAGAGGCAAATTCCACAGCGCTAGCCAGCGTGTTATCCGACCTCTTTGGCAGACTTGGTGCACAGCGCCACTTCCTCCGACCAGGGTTTGGCATGACCGAGACTTGTGCCGGCAGCATCTACGGCACCAGATGTCCTACCTTTGACGTCGCGCACGGACGCGAGTTCACCTCGTTGGGCCGGTGCATTCCCTGCATGTCCATGAGAGTCAGGCGTGATGGACATGGAAGCGGTTCCTTGGCAGCCAACGAGGTTGGTGTCTTGGAGGTCAAGGGTGGTAATGTCTTTGGCGGGTACTTCAACAACCACGAGGCCACCGTGTCATCGTTCTCGTCCGACGGGTGGTTCATCACCGGCGATCTCGCCTTTATCGATGACGGCGGCAATCTCCACCTGGTCGGTCGCGAGAAGGAAACCATCATCATCAATGGCGTCAAATACTTCCCACACGAGATCGAGGGTGCTATCGAAGACGCGAGTATCCCGGGTGTCACGCCCTCGTTCACGGCTGTGTTCCCACACCGCCCCGAGAATGCCGACTCGGAGACTCTCTGCATCGTGTATCTCCCAAGCTATCAGGTTAACGATGATGTCGAGGCCCGGCTGCACGTCCGGAATGCCATCAGGGACGTCGTCATGAAGCATTGCATGTCCAGGCCATACAAGATCATCCCGCTTGAGAGGGTGTTCCTGCCCAAGACCGCTCTCGGGAAGTTGTCCCGCAGCAAGCTCAGGAAAGCATTTGAGAGCGGCGTATACTGGGAGGCCATTGAGCTGGATGAGAAGCTAATCGCACTCGCTCAAGGCTCTCGCGAGGTCGTGGTGCAGCCGTCCACGGAGAAGGAGCTGGTCCTGCAGGACATCTTCTCGGACGTCTTTGGCGTGCCACCAGCTGAGATTGGAATCCACACAAACGTTTACAATCTGGGCTGCAGCTCGGTCGAGCTGTTCCGGCTCAAGTGGGCAATACAGGGTAATCCGCACTTTCCCAACGTCATCCCCGTTACCACAATGATCAGCAACCCGACCATCGCATCTCTGCTGTCGGCCATGGACACAACGCGGGACAGCAGCATATCTCCCACCACCCAGTACAACCCCGTGGTGGTACTGAGGTCTGGGGGGAACAAAGCGCCGCTCTGGCTGGTCCACCCGGGTGTCGGTGAGGTCTTGGTGTTCCTTAATCTCGCCAAGCAGATCACAGACCGGCCCATCTACGCCCTGCGCGCTCGGGGCTTCGATGGAGAACCGCTATTCGGGAGTATGGACGAGATGGTGAGCACGTATCTCCGGGCGATGAGAAGGACGCAGCCGCAGGGCCCGTATGCCATCGCTGGCTATTCCTACGGCGGGACTGTCGCATTCGAGATGGCCAAGATGCTGATGCAGCAGGATGGGCCCGACGCCGTCCCCTTCCTCGCCGTGTTCGACCAGCCACCGCATATCAAGCAGCGGATGCGCCACGGGCGCGACTGGGTTGATGTGCTGCTTACGCTGGTGCGCTTCTTCGACCTACTACCCGACGCGGACCGCGAGGCGAACTTCAGGAGGGCCGCAGCTACGCACCCCGATTTGAACGGCAAGAGCGGCGTTGCTTCGGTCGACGAACATGAGCGGCTGGTTGAGCTTCTCTTGCAACACATGGCTGTGGAACGGCTGGAGGAATACGGTCTCGACAAGGAGCGGTTGGCACGGTGGACCAGTCTGGCTCTGAACTCGCATGTCATTGCGCGCGACTATGAGCCCTCAGGCCGGGTCCCTGTGTTGGAGGTGTTCTACGGCGATCCCATCGCCGATGTAGCCCCCTCCAAGGCTGAATGGTTGGAGGAGAAGCTGTCCCGCTGGGCCGACTTCGTGGACGATGCCCGGTTCCACGAGGTGCAGGGCCATCATTATACTCTTCTTGCTCCCGAGAATATCGACTCGTTCGCAAGAAGCTTCGTGGCTAGATTGGCGGGTTGTGGTCTTTGAGCTAGAGTGGATGTGGTTTGGGTTGCGTTTGATGGTGATTGCTAGATAGGGTCGTTGTAAAGTAGTAAATATTGATGATGTAAGGAAGTTGTTCCAATGACTGGTCTGCGATACCCAATGGAGTGTCGCATGCTTATCTAATGTACCTAATTCCTTGACCCACAATGCACCAACCCAAGAGGATGTACCACGATGCCAAAACATAGTCGACAGAACATCCATTTACGGCTGCTAATAGCACCTTAAAACCTTCAAATAACGCGGAATATTTGGGAGTGTGAGATTAGATTTTGCTTCCCGTTATGGACGCGAGGGCAGTATAAAGACGATTGAGTGTCCCAGTGGACAGTACCTGTGTGTTGTGCTCTTCTGCTAACATGGCATGGCTGTGTGCTGGCTGGAAGTAACCATCCCTTTCGTTTCAGTACATCGACCATCTTCATTAATGCCCTCTTCACCTGCGTGCTTTCTATCAATTTTCTCCTTCAATGCTTCTACCCCATTTGAAGTTCTCAGCACCAAAAACTGAACCACAAGAACACTCGTCCGCCTCTCCTCGTCCCTGTCCCGCGTCATCCTCGTTCCCGCTTTCAAGTTATCCTTCCTCTCAAGGCCAAGCAAAGGCCCCAAAATTCTTAATGATCATCACACCAACTTTGGTACCCGTCACGTTGTAGTCTGTACCGCCCGCCACCCTGCCGTTCGCTAGAATGCACTTGTCCACGGCGACAGCAGCGGTTTGGGCGATGTTCCGGCACATCCCACGGTTATTTGGATCCTCTGACCCCCAACCAGCCCTCTGAGGCATGGAAATCGCACTCTGAAACGCAGTGTAAACCAGGAACAAAAGAGGACGACCAGGGACGTGGGGACGGCCGGTGGCTTCGCTGGTCTTCCCCGGGGCATCTCCCCCCAGGAGGCAAAGCTGTGAATAACCGTTGCGACGTCAATTACCCAGAGTTGCGAAGATCACCCAGCCCGGACATGGCCAGCCTTTTTGCTAGCTTATGGATGGTTAGAGGAAGGAAACGGATGAGGGGGACTTACATCCGCTGAAACATCGACATCCAAGTCATATGGGCACCCGATTGTGTGATTGAAGTCCATGGGTTTCGCCGGTGCACTCGCCGTATCCAGGAAAGCTTTCATTGCATCCTGTGGAGAAAGGGCGGTCTCGGGGTGTGTGATGATTGAGTTCGTCCAATCGACAAAGGAGAAACGGGTATCGCCAGTGGTTTCGGCGGTAGGGGAAGCGGTGGGGGCTGCGATGGCCTGAGAGTTAAGGAGGCCAAAGCCCACCGTCAGAGAAAGAATGAAGTTGACCATCTCGAATGTCTTCGTCACAGTTGCTTGCGATTTGAGGTCGGAGGGGGAATCAGGGTACTGTGAAAGGAGCAGACAATTTGTAGTAGGGAAAAAAGGAAAAGAAAAACATCAAGGGGTGACATCGTTGACCTTATCACAGTACCGAAGACAATGTAATGAAGGGGTGAGTTGGTTGTTTGACCGTTGGACGTCAACCGCTGTTGGGCCGTGTTTGCCTTTCCTGTTATGTCCGGGCCGAGTTTGGAAAACGAACCGAATGGCCGTGGGCGGTTCGTGAAACATGGCGGTGCAATTAATGGAATGCGTGAAGCTGTTATGGGCCAGTCAGGAAGGAGTAAGGTGTCAGTGGTTGAGTTTTTAAGGTACGACTGTCATATCTCCTTTGGAAAGAGAGCGGGATCAAGGTTGTCGACGACAAGTCTACTGGTGTGGCAAAAATGACCCCACATGCACCCACACCTTTCGACGAAAAGCAGATGGGACGGAAGAAAAAGCGATGTTAAATAGCCGACGTAAGAGGTACGTATCCCAGAACCAAACAACCCCTTCGAAACTGAAGAAAACGTGGTCAACAGTTGACCTCCTTTTAGAATGAGTGGGTAGTGTGGCCAAGAACGCCGCCATGCTTAGTACCCGTGAGGTCTTTCGCCCTTGAGCCCCCAACCAACCCATCAGGCGTGGTGCATGTGTCCATGATGACCCCGTACATCTGGGCAAGTCCCTGGCTGTATTGGGCGAAAGTTTGGTCAGTAAAGCTTCTTGGACAGATGAACGAAACGACGATAAACGGGGAGTCATAACATACCATGTAGGATAGTTGCGAGGATCATTATCGTGATCGAATGGCAGGAGCAACGCGCCATTCCAATTGATC